CAAATTCTAAATTCTTAAGTTTTCTTGGTGTAAACTTCAAAAAATTAATTCATCTAAATTACAATATTTTTGTTCCTATAATCGAAATGTTTCAGTGGTTGGAAAATCTATAAAAAAGTATCTCTCCACAAATAACCACAATGTAAATTATCATCAATATAATTTATATGTCCGCTCAACAGTTAGTATGTTGCTTTTGCAATGTCGAAATGTAGCATCATGCAAATGGATTTTCCAGAATTCAAGAACAAAGTTAAATTTTCAGCAAAATTCACACGATCAATAATTAATTTTAATATAAGTAATGGCCACTCTTCGAGTTGTAAATTTTCAATTGTAAAAGGAAAAAAAAAGGACATATCCCCTAGCCAGGGTATGTCATTAACGTTTTCGTTGGGGCCTCTTTCATCATCATCAACATCAACATACCCAGTATATTCCCAAACAGGTTGAGGTCTGGGGGGTCAGTTGTACGCAGACCTTACCCTTGTAAATTAAAAGGAGGCTGTTTCCATAGCGACCCAAGGTGCATTGCGTCGTTTGATATATTTTTTTCTAGAAACTTCACTAATAGAAGAAGCACTAGAATTTAATTGAGCCATTTTTGATCTAGTCCAAATTAGCACGATGCCAGAAGAATTGTCAACGTTGGGGCCTCTTTGTTAGAGAAATATTTCTCAATGAAAGACTTAAGTGAAGCTTCATATATCATTGGGATAAAGACCTATAGAGATAGATCTAAAAACTTATACTTGTTTTTCTCTAACTGGTAATCTGACTACTCTAGCTTCTATCCTATCACAATAATTTAGAGAAATGGTATTGAAAATAATTACATACAAAATAGTATGCATAAACATTAGACTGAATATTGAGTCGAATCTCCAAAATCACAAGTATTTAAGAAGTAATAAGCACCACATGACTAAGTTCCAAATATTTCTCCCAAAATAAATGAAAGTGAGACCTACCTCACATATATTGGTCATTTTTAGTAGTAACGGGGTTGTGCTGAAACTAAAAATTAACTAATGAACCGCATCGAGCGAATCATTTACAATCAGTAAACATAAAGAAGCAAAACAAGTCCTAGTATTATGGTAGTAATTATTTCCATTTACTATGTTCACAATAACATAAAATAAATTCATTTGATCAGACAAATATATCGAAGGTACAAAAGAACAAAACGAAAATTACATAAAAGGTGAATATGAAATAAAAACCTTTGAGCTAGCCTCTCATGGCCTAAAAGCGCGTCATTTGCATAAGGTATGCACCCAATAATTCGAAAAGTGTGCTGCCAAATGAACCAAAATCATTTAG